GCCTTCCCAACACTAGCTAATGCTTTTAGCTCTAAGGTGCACAGTTCAAACCCAGCTGATGATTATCACATGCTAGTTCTGCAAAGTTGCCCAATTTAGAGTCAGACAGCCACACTGATAAAGAGCTGAGCATGAACCACCTACCCTCCAGACTACCACCTAACTTCATCTGAGACCAAACCACCAGAGTATTCCGAGAAACAGGTCTTACCTGAGAAGGTAAAAATGACCCAAAATATTTTATAAACCACAGAATAGTTGGCAGCCAAACTGACACACTGACTCACACTCAGAAAGGGATTGGGAGATACCGTAATGCTCAGGTTTGAAGAGCTCACATCCATTTGAACAGCTAAAGATACGGAAAGTTATGTTTTGCCCTTGATAGAACATCAAAGCACCTGGAAAAGCTCTGACCCAAACTATCTTGAGGCTTCCATGAGGTACATCTCTACCGTGTTATTCCCTGAAGATGCTGGAGATGCCATGGGCCTCAGCTGCAGGGTTCTCTGGGAAGCAGGGATTCTGAAGACCCAACAGCCCCTCTCTCCTGAGGAAAAAACCAGTACCACAGTGTTTATTTGTGAAAAACATATCTATGTCTGAAAGCTGCAAGGGCTCTCAGGATGCATTATCTCTCTTTGTTCATACATACCCAGGCAATTCAAACACAAACTCTATTTTAAGAGGATCACACACAAAAAGCTTTTATTCCTCAGAGCATCTCAAAATGCCAAGTATGGTAGTTTTGAAAGTGTCTGTTTAAATTAGAGTTTGTGGCAAGCTGCTCTTTCATCATTGGTTGAGTGAAACTGGAGAAAGCTTGAATCATCCACTTCGCTTTCCCTTCTCCTTCCCCTACTTTCCCCGCAGCACATCTCACTTCTTGTTCAATGCAAAAATGGTGAATAACATATGTATTAACCTGTGGGATTTTTTTCCCATTATAATCCCACAGAGAAATGCCCAGTTACACGATGAAAATCAATCTACTTCCCTAAGCTAAGGCAAGCTGGCACTGCTTGAAGGCCTTCATGTGGCCTGTCTCCAACTACCCAAGGAGGAATTAAAAGGAGCCCCTGCTCTGGTGCCTTTATAACTAAATGTCTTGTGTGAACCACTCTTTAACGCTCCTTCATTTACTGAGTTCCTAAAAAAGTTGACAAAAATCTCTCTATTCATTTAATCTCTTCTGAATTTGTGTCCTTCTAACTCCTCAGTAATGCTGGCTCAGAAGCCAGATAAAGCACAAAAGACCAAACAAACCAGACTTCTTTCCTCTTTTAACACAGCAGGCGGATATTATAATCTTGAAAATTTCCTTCTCCTCTTTTTCCTTCTCCTTGTGTTTCCATGTCCAGACACTGCTTCATAAATTTATTTGTGCTGACAGCATAAAGTCTTATTGCTTCTCATTCTTTATTTGCTCTGAAATACAGCAACTTCTGTGAGATAAAAATACTTCTCCAAAGATAAACGTTGATTTACATGGTTCTCAAGATTATGGTTATAAGAAATCCTAACAGTCTGGAGTACAGTATCACTTTTCAGACATTGTTTCAGAAAATTATAGAATCATAGAATGGTTTGGGTTGGAAGGGACCTTGAATGATCATCTTGTTCAACTCCTCATTGACCACCTCTTCAACGTTCAGGTTATTGGTTATCATGTATCACAACTAGTGCTTGAGCTAACTGATAGGTCACCACTGAAGACGCCAAGAGCAAAAAGGATGCAATCTAAACCCCAAAGAAAGGCACTCAGCGATTTTGTGGCAAGTTGTGTCCTCGAGGATTCCGAACAGGTAACACCATGTGATGCACTAGTTACTTTTTCATGTTGTCATGCTTTTTTTGCACTCAGAGGACAAATTTTTGTGGCAGCTTACATCAGAGAACCTAGTCTCAGAAGACTTCAAGTTACCAAATCCCAAAAGCAGGTTAGCCTAACGCACACACTTTAGTACTTGTGTAATCAGATTTTTCATGAGCAATACTTGATATGGTTTTTTCATTGCAGAATTTGGGTTTATTGACAGTTTTAGTAGTGCTGACTGCCTAGTCACTTACAAGTAGAGATAAAATGAGTGAACTCTCCAAGGAAGCAGAGGGCTCTTATTAAAAGAGAGGGCAGTTAGCGTGGATGACATAGGAAACCAGCGGACATGTTTTTTACAAAATCAAAGTGATACTTTTTACATCTATTCTTACAATCAGCAGAAGCAGCTGTTATTGTCATTTATGGAAATTCTGAAATGAATCATAACCTTTAATTAATCTTCTATTTGAAATGAGAGCATCCAGGACAAGAAAACCAAATCTTTCAAAACCATTTAAAAATAAGCAAAATAACACAAGTCCTAACTAGGGAAAAATGACATGGAGAAGTGAGAAACTAACATTGCCTAAAGCTAAAATCAGATATTGATTTCAGCAGTCCACAACTCCTTACGCTCCATGGAGAACACAAAGTCAGATTTTGTATGCCAAGTACTTGCAAAATAGATTAAATTATCATACAACAGTCTTCCAAAATATCACAGCTGATTATGAAGTGTCCACAAACGCGAGCTGGATCTTGAGGTACCCGCTGTTATACCAATTGTTTCTAATGGCACACTAAAGCATTTTTATTAATGTGCTGTTCATCTGTTTGCAGATAATTATCCAATCTGGTTGACCAAATTTTAAAAGAAATAATTTAAACTGACGCAAATTACAGAAGCATATGTGGCAAAAACGTGTAAAACTACAACACACATACTGAAAAAAAAGACGAAAAACAAAGGAGACCTCACTCAGATAAATTTCATAGGCAAACTCCCAACAAACACTACGAAAGGGGTGATAGGGTATAAACTTCTATCTTTACTTTTAGAGCAAACTAATGAGATAGCTTCATCAGTGCCACAGGGAACATTTTTGAAATAGAAGAAACAATGACTATTAGTTCTCCTTATTTCAGTTTAACAGATAGACAAAATAATGTTAATTGATTATAAGTCAATTAATTGTGCTTCAGGGTTAGAAACATTCACCACTGAATTTTCATGGTAGTGAGGAAACCAGCTATATTTTAAGGAAATCTAGGTAATCCTAATGCACTGGCTATACCTCTATTCAGTGGTGGGAAGGAAGGAGGCAGAACAGTTCTGCCAATCAGGCAACATTCTTTGGAGGAAGAACTGGATTAGAAATAGTTTTGTCCGATCTGATCTCCACTTGAAGTTAATCCTCTCCAGCTGTCATTTTATTTCAAAAAGACACTCATCCTGTGGCAGTCAACTGCATATTAGTTTTGCAGATGTTCAGAGTGGGTTTTTTATAACACCTACAAGAATCAGCCATCCTCAAATCCGTGGAAAATATATACTTTAATACACTGACTGTCCCTACCAATGTGTATATAATAGCTTTGTTTCATCAATGTGTTTTACATTTTTTTTTAATTTATTCTGTTTGTCTGGCTGAAGCTATTTGCTCTCTCTGGGAAGACATTTGTCTCTCAAGAGGAACACAACAGAGGTGTTTATAGTGAAGCTATAAAAGCAGGGAGGAAGAATAAGCAGTAACCAAGACTATCATCTCCAATTAAAATTGCTGGTATAACAACAAGGGAATATAATTAACTACGAGAGCATTTTAAGAAAGCAAGACAAAGGATAGCCACCACAAATAGAAGAAGAAAAGAAATATTATGTCTTTAAAGATCATGGGATGTCAGTCTCCCAGTTATTTTAGTCCAGAAAACAGCATACCCAGCAAGACTCCAAAGAAGAGAATGTCAATGACAGAGTCATTAAAAGCTATGCAGAGTAACAGTGAGAAATTTATAGGGAAGCATAACCAAACAGTTGTCTGCACAACAGCAAATAGTATGAGATTCTCATAAAGTACATAATACATCATCTACTCAGTAGTTAGGCACTAAAGCTCCTCTTCTTTTCTCTCAAAGAAACACACTAGCAGTTTAACTATAGATTATGTAAATATTTGTAATTAGTTACTTATGAAATTGTAATGAAACTAAAGGGCTGTACTTACACTCATGAATCTGCATTCCAAGTTACAGATTGGGATATAAAAAGAATTAAGGATAGAAGCAGACATTTAAAAGCTCATTAGGTAGTTCCAAAATTCAAAGACGACAGTAAGTTCAAATCCAGAACAGTGGTCAAAGCTTATATATAGCAGAGTATTTTTCTTGTTTTATTATACTGTGGGATGAAGAATTTTATTGTTGAACTACAACTCTGATAGTGTAAATATTAGTACTAAGAACAATACAGAGCAATTATAGTCATGCACATTGTCATGCATACATCTATATAATGAATGTATGGACATTTTTCATTAACAAAATAAGTCTTGTTTTTATAAACAAAATAATACACTACAGTTGTTGCTGCTGATACCAGAGAGGTAGACCTGGTTCCCATCTTGCAACTGTGTTACCCTCTGGCATAGGCTAGAAACCAGCATCATATGAATATCCATCTACAATAAATGTCATGCCACTAAACACCAGAAAGTCAAAAAGAAGAAAATCCAGAATGAAAAATGCAGAGATATGCTGCGACTTTCTTACGTTGTAAACCACACAAACGCTCCAGTTCATATTGGCCTTGGACACCAACTTCGATGAGGGTATCCTTATACCACCAACACCACAGTAAAGAATGTAAAAGCACAGAAAACCACAGTACGATCCACAGGGTACATTGGTACTGCCAGACTCACAACATCAGGCAGGCTTTTGTCCCACTTTTCCCATCACAAGCACATGAGGCATAGCTGATTGCAAGAGGAGCACACCCGTATCCTGCTTCTCCTCAGTTGTTGTTATTAGCAACCTTAATTAAAAACCAAAACCAGCACGCAGCCACAAATTTGTCAGCTGAGCTCCAGCCTGCTGACACACAGCCTTACTTTTCAGGAACAGCAAGGTACAGCCCTAATTCTAAAATTGATATCAACGCAAAGGACCTGCAGCCAGCCACCAGCTCTTGTTCTTCCAGATCTAGCCCCTCTGCGTTGGGATAGATATCCCATTTCCTCTTTGCTTTAGAAACTAAATAAACCACCTCAGCTACAGTGAGAACTGCATTCTGCCCCAAGAACCCTAACACTACATTGCGAACCTGAATTTCACTCTCCTCCTGATACTTTCCTGAAAATACAGAAACAGAAAGGATTGCTTTAGGTTACAGTCACTGTAATGATGCCCGTGATACAAATTCCTTTGAAGGGGACTGACTTCACCAGTGAGACTTACTTTCCTCTTTCATTTTCCAGTAACTAAAATGTTTTATCTTCAAACTTGTACTCTATCTATTCACATCCAATCATCCAGCCATCAGCTGGATCGCCTATACTCAAGGCTGTAACAACACAAGTCAAGGAATTAGACTAAGTGGTAAATCTAAGAACTTTCTCAGATTTTTACTGAAAGGTAAAATCTAGAATCCTCCCAGACCCCTGCTTCTGATTTTTGCAGGTTAAAAAAAAAAAAGTCAGCAAAGAGACTCTTCTGCTACATTTAAAGGATGAAAGTTGCAACTTGTTCAGCATCCCTTTACTACAGATTTGGAATATCCTATGAAGCAAAGAATCCTTTAAGTCTCTAGCTCAGTTTGAAGCTATCAATTCTGTGTTTAATGCTGGAGAAAGACAAAAAAAACCAACAGAAGATATATTTCATTATATTCTCATTAACAACAACAAATTACAGTGGAGCAGGCTGAATGAGATTTATTCCACCACAAGCTATGATGTAGAGAATAGACATCAAAAAGTCAAGTATACTCTACAGCAGAGTGCAGGTCTAAAAAGCAGAAAACATTAACAAAAAAAAAAAAATGGTGAGAAAGATGACCTCAAAGATTAGAACATTCAGCTTACTTATAAGAAAGAGGAGAAAACTGAGTCACTGATAGTGCAAAATCTGATTTTAGCCTCTGAAGATCATCTCTCCTAGATAAATTCCAGTATAATCAACATATACACTTATGACAAAAGGATAGGAAAAGGAGATAAAAATAGCAGTAGGCAAGTTCGTATCTCTTCTGCTGATGCTTCACCTGCACCCCTGTCACCTAAAAGAGAACTGCTTGAACAGCTGTTGCCTTTAGAGACTTCAGACTTGTATTTTACGTAAATAGAAATGTTTAAAAATTACCAGAGATCATGAATAAACTTTCACAAAGAAAATGCTGAAAATCTCTGAAGGAAATGATTCTTTATATCTGCATGGTGGAAAAATTATCTTTTTCACTATTATTAGTGTCAACTAGCTAACAGCAACTACTTACCACTACATTCATCAGTGCCCAGAAAATTATGATGTACATACAAATGTGATAAACCATCAAGTCAACCCCCTCAGCCTAATGGGAAATCCAACAGGCTTCCTATCTGTTCTGGTTTTGGCTGAGATGCAGTTAACTTTCTTCACAGTAGCTAGTGTGAGGCTGTGTTTGGGTTTGTGCTGAGGAGAAGCTGATCACATACTGATGGTTAGAGCTGCTGCCAGGACAGCCAAGGACTTCGCAGCTTCTCTGCTGTGCTGGTGTCTGCAGGGCAGGAGAAGCTGGGAGGGAGCACAGCCCCAGTTACTAGTCTAGGATTCAACCTCAGGTTTAAGACTGAGACCCAGATTGTCCAGTAGTCTATTCCATATCACGCAAGTCATGCCCAGTATAGAGATGAATCACAGAACCATTAAGGTTGGAAAAGACCTCAAGGATCATCAAGTCCAACCGTCAACCCAACACCACATGAGGCTCTGTCTGGAAGTTCTCTCTCTTGCTGCCAGCCAGGGGTTCAAAATGACAACACTATGAGACCTGTGGGTGCTTTTCCAGTCCATCACTGGACCAGTTAATCACTTCTGAATTCAACTGACAAATCCTTTCTCATCCAATGTCTATGTTGCCTTGACAAGAAGAAACTCTGCAGGCAGTGGTGTTCATTTAAAAACATAAAACCCAGGGTGGGTTTTACATGGTAGAGGAGTATGCTTTTACTTTCGCAGAAAACATAGAGACACACACAAAATAATATTACTATTCAGCTCTTATGCACTATACACAGGTATGCAGGCACTAGTTTACTCTTTATCTTGAAGACATAATGAAGTATGATTCAGTGACATGTTAAAAAGTCACAGGATATGCATGGCAGAAGAGAATCCAGCTTTCCTTAATCCCAATTCGATGCTTGTTCCTGAATGCACCTGGGACTGGCAGCCTATGGCACACATGTGAAAGGCAAACCATCAGATTTTAAATGGTAGAAGATGAAAAGCTAAGATTTTAAAGAGGCATCTGTGGCAAACAGTAGTTAACAGCTGAGCTACAAATTCAGCTGTGCCACAAATACAAGCAAGGTACCACCTAGCACACGCAGTTAACAGATGCATTAGATCCCACTGTCTTCTCCAGAGCTAATTATGCGGACTTGATATTTATCTGGAGGCTTTCACCTCTCCCTGCTATGTGTGTTAGCTGCCCACACCTAAACAAAAACCCTGTCTGATGCTAGGGCTCTTTCACTTCTGGCTTACTGGATTTGAAATGTGTAAAGTCTTCCTCCAGTCAACATAATTTTCCTCTATATCTAAAAAACCACATCAGCTGCATCATCCCTCCCTTGTATTCTTGTTATCAGCTCCCACAGTCTTTGCACAGAAGAACACATTCATATTTCTGCCCGTAGTTGATAAGGTAGTTTCCTTAGCTAGACAGAAACAGAGTTGTAAGCAGAGATGTACTGACAGCATTTTGGCCGCACTGAGGACATCTGGCTTGCTTCATAAAGTCTTGCTTACCAAAGTTGCTTTGTTATCCCCAGAACCTCTGCTACAACCTGAATTTCCTGGCCTGTTCCTCCTCCTCTCCAGCCTTCTCAAACTTGGCTTTACAAGTCCTCGGTTTGCCAAGTGGGCTCAACACATGGGTGGTTTCTCTCCTCCCCTTCCTAAACCTTTACTAGCATTGTTCACAGGTGCAGTCCTGCCCAGGCTGACATGGCAACAGAGACTTTCTTGGCCCAAAGAGTCCCTGCTCTTATGCTAAAGCACCAGGTGATTTTTTTTCTCTTTTTTTCTACTTTTGTTTTCTACAACTTGATCCTGGATTTTTGCTCTCACACTGAGCTGGCAAGGACATCTTATTTCTTTTCTCCTGTATGGCTTTTCATATCCTGCAAGTTCATCACATATCAGAAAAATACATGAAAAAAAACCCCAACCCAAAGCAAAAAAGCAAATAAGTGGCACACAGTTCACATCAGTCACAAGTGCTGTCAGATAGCATAGCAATTTTTGTGCAAGATGGTTGGTTCTGAGGTGCTTTTCAGGAATGACAATAGTTTCATCAGGAATATTTACCTGTGGGACCTGGGTGATTATTTGAAAGTACAGAAAGACCTCACTCTACTCGGGACTGGTAAGGCTGCACCTTGAATCCTGGGGTCAGTTTTGGGCCCCTCACCACAAGAAGGACGTTGAGGGGCTGGAGCAGGTCCAGAGAAGGGCAACGAAGGGGGTGAAGGGCCTGAAGCACAGGTCTGACGAGGAGCGGCTGAGGGAGCTGGGGGTGTTTAGTCTGGAGAAGAGGAGGCTGAGGGGAGACCTCATCACTCTCTACAACTACCTGAAAGGAGGGGGCAGTGAGGTGGGTGCTGGGCTCTGCTCTAAAGTGACAAGTCACAGGACAAGAGGAAATGGCCTCAAGTTGCACCAGGGGAGGTTTAGGCTGGATATTAGAAAGAATTTCTTCACTGAAAGAGTGATCAGGCATTGGAACAGGCTGCCCAGGGCAGTGGTGGAGTCACCATCCCCGGAGGGGTTCAAGAAACGTGTAGATGTGGTGCTTAGGGATATCGTCTAGTGAGTTAGGTGGTGTGGGTTAACAGTTGGACTTGATGATCCTTGAGGTCTTTTCCAACCTTAATGATCCTATGATTCCTGAAAAGAAACTGAACAAGTCACCAGTATATCCCTGGTGAAGGATTTTCCCAGATGCTACCACAAACTGATCCGAGGAGAGGTCCCAATCTCTACTAGTCCCATACATCCACACTCCTTAGCCCCAGTGAATGCCTGTTTCAGCAGAATTTTTCCCCTTGTGCCCCTCCACCCTCAGCTCAAAGCAATGAAGGACATTAGAGAATTTGGCTGGCCCCTCAGTCTCAATTGACATTTATGCTTTAGCCATTTAGGAGAGATGCTGTGATACCCACTCCCACGTCTTCCTTCCTTCCCATGCCCTACAGAGGGCACATTTATACATAATGGTTAAAGAGAAAGTGGGGTTTTATCTCCATAGCCAGAACAGTGTATTTACCTTTAATCTCCAATTTCTTGAGTATATAAGCATAGATCTCATCTCTGCAAGCTCTATACAAAAGCTGGAGAGAAGGACAGGATCTAACATCAAAAAGCAATGCTGCTTTAAAAAAAAAATAAATTTCAAGCCCAGAATGTTCTCACTTAAAAGAAAAATTTCAAAGAGCCAGAACAAAGATAAATTCTACCACAAGGAATCTCCAGTTTACAGACTGCCTATTTACACAGGCCAGTGCCTGACTGTTTACCCTGGAAAAGTTGTTACTTGCATAGTAATCAAGCCTACACTTGGTACAGCTGTTGCAGAGTGAATGAGCCCTCTTCTCAGCCAAACAATGAGGGGGTTCAGCCAAATCAGTTGTCTAAGAAGGGACCAAGCAGCAGAGCCTATGTGAGGTCTGAAGAGAGCGGCTGACAGCTGAATCCAACTAGGCAGCCAAAAGAATCTCATGGGCAGAAAACCAATAAAAAACCCACGGGCTTGTCTACATATGCAGTTGTTTCTTATTTGCTTCATAAGGTTAACATGCTAAATCTCCTAGGTCAAACTGAATTTCCAGCTCAAACCAATCACACACAAGGCATTGTCTTTGGAATAAGCATGTCCACATTTGAACTGTTTAGCAATATCTTAACCCATTGGCAGTCCGTAGGCTTTAGAACTTGTTTGCCCATACAGTACAGCTGCCGGTTCAACTGCAAAATCCCAGTTTAAAATATCCATTCACAGAGCTATCCCCAGCAAATTTCTCCTTGCACAGACCCTGAGCGTTGGAGCGCAGTTGTTGTGTGGTTCATTCCCTGCCACCAACAGAAAAAAA